GCTGTTCCTCACCAGGACCCGTTGGAGGGGAGCGGGTTGAGCTTTCCTCCCCACCCCGACTAGGGCTCCAGCAGCCAAAGACCTCCAGGACCAGCCACCACCATGCTGAGACCACTCTCCACACACCTGAAGGTACTGGCAGAGGGACAAATCCACGCGGGTTCCGGGACTGAGATCTCCCAGCCTACTCGGATTGGAGTCGAGCATCCTCCACCCAGATCCTCCAAATTCCAATAGGCGGGGGTCACACCCACCACCTGGCCCCCTGGCGCCGTGTAATCCCATCAACGGCCAAGACTCAGAGACTATAAAATCCAGCTCTCGGAACCGCGCGGCCGCATTCACGGCCACGCGACATCTTATTAGGACATCTTTTATGACATCTTATCATCTCTTACCTACTTTGGACAAACTTGCAGGCTATCGAATGTAGCCTGCCCACAGGGCAGAGTCTGGCAAACTCCCCATGGCGTACCAAATATGCCAAATACCAGTAACAATGATGGGTCTCATTCACCTAAAGAGCCTTGAATATAATCTCAGGGTTAGGATGAAAGAGACGTTACTGGGGCCTGCTCGAGGCATTCGACGAGTAACAGGAAGATGAATGAATGAATGTGTGTATATATATATATATATTTATATATATATATTATATATATATATATCACTGTTCTCCCGTTGTTCATCAATTTGCTCGAGCGGGCCCATTGGAGAATTTTGTTGTTACTGTGTTTGGAATATTGAATACATCACGGGTAGCTTGCCAGGCTCTGCCGTGCGGGCGAGATACTCTCGGTAGCTTGCCTGGCTCTCCGAGAGGGGCGGAGGAATCAAACTCAGGTTGGCCATGTTGACTGCGGGCAAGGCAAACGCCCTACCACTGTGCTATCGCTCTAGCCCCATATATATATATATATATATATATATATATATATATATATATCGGAATATATAGTGAGATGTCCTCAGGAAGAACCAAACTGTAAGTTTATCTCTTACTGTGCTCATACAGAATGACATTGCTAGAAATATTAGAAGTAGACTTACTACAACTATTTAAGTAGATTACTAGCTGAGGAAAGAATACACCCTTGTTGGGATCCCACCCTTGAGCAGATCTCCTAGTAATCTGGAATAAATCTCTTTAGATGAGATTTAATCCTTGAGTTAATCTCCTCAGGAGTGGTCTTACCTCTCTTTGCTGATCTGTTAATGTTCAACCCACCTTTGTGTCACCACCCTATTTTTTATAAAATTGCTATATAAACTAAGACTGTAAGCTCCAAGGGGACTTGGGTTCGAGAGAGCAGAGACTGAGGCTCAGGCTGAGGCTCAGGCAGAGGCTCAAGCTGAGGCGCGGGCTCGGGAGCTTGGGCTCCAGAGGTCAGAATCAGAGGTGAGAGTGAAGACTGGAATAAACTACAATTGATACCGACCAGCCTTGCCCTCATTTCCTTCCTTCACCTGCCCATCGCCATCGACCTCCCTGGGGTGGGGGAAATGGCTCAAGACTACCGAACACAGGATGTGGGAGAGATAGAGCGCCGCTGGACCTTCTGAAAACACACACCTGCTAAGAGGAACAGGCTTGGAGGGGGGTTGGGAAAATGGGGACATTGGTGAAGGAAAGGTGACCCTGGTGGTGGAATTGGTGTTGAAATATTGAATGTCTGTAATGAATCATTATGAACAACTTTGTAAACCAGTGTTTAAATAAAAGGGTGGAGGGAGCATGTGTTAGTAATTGGGTGTGAACAGGACAGTGTAGGAAGGTGGGTGAAGGGAAGTGGTGTCACACACGGGGGCAGAGTGTGCCTCTCAGGAAGGTCAGAGAATGTCAAACAGAGGAGGGCCAGGGACATGTTTCAGGTCCAGGGAACAGCAGTGGAGGCGCTATGTGACCCAGCTGTGCTGGTGCAGGGTCTCAGTGAAGGCCTAAATCTGAACCCTCACCATCAAGTGTAGAAAGGGTTTGCAAAAGAGTGATTTTTTTTTCATATAATATACTTGAAAAGCTCACTTGGGGCATTAAAGTTAAACCATGGGAAAGTTTCATCCTATTTCACATGAAACCAGTGAGAAATGAACAAGTAAATCAACTTTTATATCCTTTCCTGAGGAAAATATGTGGTTGTTGCTATATCAAGAAAGAATGCTGAGGGGGGCTGGAGCTATAGCACAGCGGGTAGGGTGTTTGCCTTGCACACGGCCAACCCGGGTTCGATTCCCAGCATCCCATATGGTCCCCCGAGCACTGCCAGGAGTGATTCCTGAGTGCATGAGCCAGGAGTAACACCTGTGCAATGCCGGGTGTGACCCAAAAAGCAAAAAAAAAAAAAAAAATGCTGAGGGTCTGGGAGATAGCTGAGAGGCCTGGAAACTTTACATGTGGGAGCCACAGGTTTAATCCCCGGCACTGGAGGGAGAGACCCTTAAGCATAGCCCCTAAGATTGCCTGGTGTGCCCACCTCAAAAACAGGAATAGAAAAAGTAAAAGAAAATTAAAGTGAGCTTTTCCTTTCCACTTTCCTGGGGACACCAAAGGCTAGAGATAGGGGTAAAGGGGTGAAGTTCCAGCACGGCTCTCCTTCGGCTGCCATCCCTGTGGAATCAGGGATGCTCAAAATTTTCTTCTCCCAGGCTTTTTTAGACAAGCACTGTGTGAGGCAAGATTGGTTTCTGCCTCCCCAGAGTCTCAGGAGGGTTGGAGGTGTGGCTCCGTGCAGAGCAGGCCTGGGGGGTCAGGAACCACACGGCCCCAGAGTGTTAGGGAGCGACCCTGATCACAAATCCAGAAGTAGCCTGAGAGGATCGCTGGGTGTACCCCAGCCCCCCCCCCCACAAAAAATTGTATGAAGTACAATGAAATAATTGTACCTGCATATAGCTTGCTGATTGTTTTCATATTAAAGAATGCAAATGCACAGCTTCTTTTTTTTTAAAGCCAGTAATGTGTTCTGCATATCACAAGTAGTTACTCTGAGGATAGTCTTATTTTTTTTTTAATTGAAGTATCATAATTTGCAATAATGTTGAACTTGTTTTATAGTTGCAGAGTTTCAAGATTCACCGCCCCCCCCCACCCCAGCCCTCAAGGATAGTCTTAATGTGAAAGCATGTCATGAGGGGCCTGCCTCCCTGAGCCAGAGGAGTCCCCAGTATTGCTGGGTTTGGTGCCCCTTCTCCCTCTCTAAAATACCCCAACATGTGTCAGGACCAGAATGCAGCTTAGCGCTAGAGTACTTGCCTTGCATGTGTGAGCATGCAAGTGTTTGACCCCCTTGAGCTGGAGTGATAGCACAGCAGGTAGGGCATTTGCCTTGCACGCGGCCCAACCTGGGTTTGATCCCCAGCATTCCATATGGTCCCCTGACACGGCCAGTAGTTCCTGCATGCATAAACCAGGAGTAACCCCTGAGCATCACTGGGTGTGACCCAAAAAGCAAAAAAAAAAAAAAAAAAGTTTTACCCCCTATACTGGCCCCCCATCATTTGTGACACTTTTATGAGATGAAGTTCATCAAACTTAGAAAAGGTATTCAAAAGCCAGTTGCATCAGTGAGGGACATTTGCAAAGTGATTCCTGCTTTCAGAATGAGACACAGTCAGACTTTCTTCCTATTCAATGAGTAATTCCAATTATTCAATATGCTGTTGATGTTGCTTTTTACTGAAAACCACTTCTAAAAATTCAAAAATAAAAGCAAACTTTTCTTCCTAAAAAAAAAAATTCTTCTCCCAACCACTTTCCCCACCCACACCTGGGTGCCCAGTTTCCCAATAACCGCACCTCAGGGTCCAGATACTCAGTGAATTCCAGAGTAGCGCAGTGGCACCCCCGAGTGGCCAGAGGACCCAGCTCCCCTTTCCTGCTGGGGCAGAACTCAAGACTTCTAACTTGAATCTTGACTTCTAAGAAGTCCCACTGTCAGGTTTGGGGGTTTCCCTAAATTCAATGGCAATGATGCTTCCTCCCCATTGAATCATGAAGTCAGCCCCAGGACACAGTGAAATTCCAACTCAAAGTCCACAGGTAGGTACTGGTCCCCAACAAAAAAATGCTGCTTACCACATGATGCACCCAGATCATATATTTATAAATTTCCTTATGACAATTCTTATTTCTATCTTAACCTTCCATTGGTTCTCCCATTCTCATGGGTTCAGGGGTAAAAAGGGGTCCAATGCACCCCTATGACAATCTCGTTTCCTACCCACCTGGGCAGGGGCTTGTTATTCCTGCTCTGGGGTTGGACCCAGGCAAAGGTACTGACAAATTACATGGTGCATGAACTAGGCTTTTATTCCCAAATCCAAAATCAGAGATTAAAGGACTTGATTCAACATAGCTTGATGTCTACTCAGTGTCATAATGTGCCAAGAGTCAAGGCTACATGATCCAGCAGTGCCCATGTATATTAGAAAGGGCAAAAACCTCGCAACATGCAACAAAAAACACAAAGGGGATGGAGCTACAGAGATGGTACAGCTGGGAGGGCTTTCGCCTTGCACGTGGCTGACCCAGATTTGATCCCCAGCATCCCATATGGTTCCCCAAGCACCACCAAGAGTGATTCCTGAGCAGAGCCAGCAGTAACCCCTGAGCATTGCTGGGTGACCCAAAAAGCAAAAACAAACAAAAAACAACCAAGAGGAGTAGAGCGCCATTCTGCGTGAAAAGGAAAACAGAAGGGAAATAGACTTAAGTCAGATGCAGTGAGATTCGAAGGGCTAAAGCCCACGCAGGAGCCCTGGTTTCACTCCCCAGCACAAGGTCCCGAAAGCAACTTTGTGTATCACCCACGCGCCAAGCTAGTGAGTGCTTAAGTGTTTCTCACTTACAGATCTGTAGTGTGAACCCTGTCCTGCAATCGTGAGAAAAGAGAAAATGCTAGGAAGACTCGGAGGTAGGTGACCAGTGTTTTAAGTTTTGCCTCAACCAGTTTTTTCATACCCAAGTTCCAGGTCTCCAGGCAGTATGGGAGGGAACTGGGTAGTGGAGCAGGGCAGGGGCAGGGCCAGGCACTGAAGCGAGGCAAGGCCCAGAGGGAGCCAGTTCCGGGGCACTCAGTCAGCTGCCCGCTTCACCCACCATGGTGCTGCTGCCTCTGCCCTGGCTGGCCCGGTGCTGCTACCGGTGCCTTCTGCGGCCGTCCTGGGCCCTGGCGCGCCAAGGCTCCGGGAGGTGCTGCTCTCAAAGCCCTGCTGCAAGCACTCCAGAGGCCACCAGTTCCGCAGATGAGAAGATAAGGACACCCCCCAGGGTAAGTGGGGCCAAGGGCGGGGCGGGAGGGATTCTTACTAAGAGGACATCAGTTTTTCTGCCCCAAGTTGTTACCAACACCCAGCCCTAAAGCTTTTTCCCCATTCCAACCCAGCCTCCCTTCCCCATACACACCATTCCCACCCTCACCAGATCACAGGGTTCTCCCCCCAAGTCCTTCCCTCCTTTCCTGCAATCCACAAAGTCCTTGAACAGGTATTTCCCACCGAGCAGTTAATTATTTCTTAAGAGGGGGAGGGGCAAGTCCTCTCCTGCGCATTTCCTTGTAGGAGTCTAGTTACAGCGCATGGGTCAGTGATCTCTAAAATGCACCCCTCTGACCTAAGCGCTGCTCCCTCTTTGCCCAAGAGAAAAGGCCTTCAATTATGTAGCACCCAAATCCCATCCTGGTACCACATGCACAGAACCAAGTCAGGAATAACCCTGGCTCCTAGGAGAACTGTCAGATATGGCCCCAAAACACTTGGAAACACAAACAAAAAAAGGGCAGTCAGATCCCTGCCTCAATTCCCTGGGCTAACTAATGCTTTTTCCCCACCCCACAAAGGGCGCACGGCCCCGCCCCTCCGTGGAGCTGACCCAGGCGGAGGAGCTGCTGGAGCAGCAGCTAGAGCTGTACCAGGCTCTGCTAGAAGGGCAAGAAGGTGCTTGGGAAGCCCAGGCCCTAGTGCTCAAGATCCAGAAGCTAAAGGAACAGATGAGACGACACCGTGAGAGTCTTAGGGACAATGCCTAAACTCTCCACCAGATTCTGCTTCACTGAGCCCCCAGAGCCCCTGGGTAAACACCTCAGCCTCTCCCAAGAGAAATGCGAACACCCCCACAAATGGCAGAATTGGATAATGAAGACTTAGGACCATGTCAGTGTTTGGAAATCATCCTTCTCCTGACCCCTCCAGGGCAGTCCTTACAGAACGTACCGTGGATTATGCATCAAAATAACCTCACCCCAATTCCAATAAAGGGACGAAATGCTTACAGACACCACAGACACATGTGTTTTTTAGTTTTGTTAAAAAAAAGATCTGACAAATCAGGAAATGGGAGCTCAGGAGTGGTGATGATGCAAAACAGGGAATCCAAGGACTGGGGCTTGGGGGCTCTCAGGAATAGGTGGCAGTAGTGTCTCCTTTATCCCACACCTGGTGTCTCCCGAAGAGGGACAGACTCGTCCCCGAAGAGGTGGGTGGATCCTCTACCGCGTCTGTTCAACTGAAGAGAAACAAAGCCATTAGATCAGGACATGGCAAAGAGATTGTGTAGTTTTGTGTGAATTTGTGCAGTGTTTGTGGGGGGTAAGGGTGCGGGGAGGGGGTGCGTTTCCAGAGGCTATTTTGAAAAAAGGTGTCTATTACACACATTCACAATGAAATATAAGATACAACACACAAAGAAACAAGAGGTTTGGCTGGGGTAGCTCTGATACTTACTATAGGAGGAGATGTCAATCTCATCAGGCAGTTCACTGATATTGACCTCAAATCGATCCTGCACATCATTGAGGATCTTGGCATCGTTTTCATCTGACACAAACGTGATGGCCAAACCCTTAGTACCAAACCTGCCAGCTCTGGCCACCTGGAAAGAGATGACACAGGGAGTGAAATTAGAAAGACACCCAAGGAGAGGGCAAATATGAAATGTGAAGGGGGACCAACAGTACAGCAGGTATGGTGCTTGCTTTGCATGTGGCTAACCCAGGTGTAAACCCCAGCATCCCAAACAGTCCCAACCTTCAAGGAATGGTATCTGAGTGCAGAGTCAGGAAGAAACCGTGAGCACAGCAGGGGTGACCCAAGTCCCCCCCCACCCAAAATTAACAAAAGAAACACAAAGAAATGAAGAGGGGCCAGAGAAAATTGTGGGAGGAAGGAAGGTGATAAGAGAGATAGTAAGTAAGGAACTTGCTTGCCTAAGAGGCACACCCAGGTTCAGCACTGTCAGGGCGTCAAACCCTGAGCAAAGAGCCAGGGGGAAAAAAAACTGAGCACTATTGGTGCAACCCAAATACTCACAAACCAAAATAAAATATGAACCCAAAGATATACTACTGGAGGTATGGCACCTCCCTAACATGCTGCCAACTGGGGTTCGATCCCCAGTATACCATATGATCACCACGCATCACGGTCCTCCCGATGTTCATCGATTTGCTCGAGCGGGCCCAGTAACGTCTCCATCATGAGACTTGTTGATACTGTGTTTGGCATTTCGAATACGTCACGGGGAGCTTGCCAGGCTCTGCCGTGCGGGCGAGATACTCTCGGTAGCTTGCCGGGCTCTCCGAGAGGGGCGGAGGAATCGAACTCAGGTCGGCCATGTTGGCCGCTTGTAAGGCAAACGCCCTGCCGCTGTGCTATCGCTCCAGCTGAAAGTAATTCCCAAGAGCAGTCAGGAATAATCCCTGACTGCGAAACTGCCAGGTGTGCCCGCACCCAATTATTTTTTGAAAAAGAAAAGTCCCAAAGAGAGCCAGAAAACCAGCAAATGTCCTCCTGGGAGTGAGGCTTACCCGATGCAGGTAGGTATCTGAATCCTCAGGCATGTCATAGTTAAAGGCGATATTCACCCGCTCAATATCCATGCCTCGACCAAACAGGTTGGTTGCCACAAGAATTCGTCGTTGAAAATCTTTAAACTGCTGATACCGAGATAGCCTTTGTGAGAAAGGAAATTAGAAGATTGTTGAGATTACCCTCTCATAGCCCCCTTTCCTCCCAAGCATCTTCCCCACCTGCCTCACCTTTCTTCCTGGGGCATCCCACGGTGGATGGCAATGGCTGGGAAGTTCTGCTCCACCAGGAGCTGGGCCAGGGCAATGCAGCGTTGCACAGACTTCACAAAGATCACCACCTGTGTGTGTGTGTGTGTCAGAGTGAGGGGATGCAGTAGGTGAGGATCCATGTGCATGTGAATAAGATTAGTGAGGAGAGAAGATTTCAGTAATTACTCTTCTTCCTTAGTCCCTCTTATTCCACATTTTCTCTTCTGCTCTAATTATAACTTAGCCTTTCTCATTTTATTGGAGTAGACACACTGCAGAGAAGGTATAAAGGTATAAAAATACTAACCAAAATTATCAGACTATTAAGAAATGAGATACCTCACGAAACTAGTAAAAAAAAAATCTAATTTTACTGTTATCTGCAAATTCTCTTACTCAATAAAACACACAAGTCCCCTGGGGCACTGCTCAGAGGTAGAGCAGTCCTGCATGTGTTGGGTTCAATCTCTGGCATCATCAAAGAAATTACTTTTTAAAAACCCCACATAGGGCCAGAGACAATGTATCTGATAAGAAACTTGCCATGCTCATGGTTAACCTGAGTTAAATCACCAGCATCCCATCTGGTCCTCTGAGCACCCAGGAGTGATTCCTCAGAGCAGAGTCAGAAGTAACAACTGAGCATCTCTAAGTATGGCCCAAAAGAAAAAAAAAGAAAAAAGGGGGGGGGAGAAACCCCACCACACACACAAAAACGAAGAGATCTACCCAAATACACAACACGACAGGTAAAATGATCAAATGTTTCTCAGTAAAGGCGGGGAAAATAAAGTCCTGGAACTTTTACAAGTTTTAAAAAACCTTCAAGGCCATTGCTGGAGTGACAGCACAGTGGGTAGGGCGTTTGCCTTGCACGTGGCCGACCTGGGTTCGATTCCCATCATCCCATATGGTCCCCCGAGCACCGCCAGGAGTAATTCCTGAGTGCCTGAGCCAGGAGTAATCCCTGTGCATTGCCAGGTGTAACCCAAAAAGAAAAACAAACAAACAAAAAAAAACCCACAAAACTTCAAGGCCAGAGACAACAGTACAACAGGTAGGGTGTTTGCCTTTCACAGGGCTGACCTTAGTTCAATGCCCAACATCCTATATGGTCCCCCAAGCCCGCCAGGAGTAATTCCTAAGCAGAGCCAGGAATAAACTCTTGAGCATTACCAGGCATTTCCCAAAACAAAACAAAAAATTAAGAATAAACTAAAAAAAATATATATTTGAATACCTTCAAAGCATTGGAGGGGCACACATACCAAGCAGTGCTCAGGAGTTATTAATTTCCAGTTTAGTGCCACAGATCAAACTCGGCCTCCTGCATGCAAAGCTTGTACCCAGCCAAGTGTTTTATTTTTTGAGACTTATTTTATTTAGCATTTCTTTTCTGGAATAAAAAAAAGCAGTTTCTAGAGCTGGAACAATATTACAGCAGGTAGGGCGTTTGCCTTGCATGCAGCTGACCCAGGTTCAATTACCAGCATCCCATGTGGTCCCACAAGCACCACCAGGAGTAATTCCTGAGTGCAGGAGTAACTTGAGCATCACCCAAAAACAAATAAAAGTAGTTTCCTTTGGGACCAGAGCAATAGTACTGTGGGTAGGCCATCTGCCTTGCACATTGACTGATCCAGATTAAATTCCCACACAAATATGGTTCCCTGAGCTTTGCCAGGAATAATCCCTGAGTATAGCTGGGTTTGGCTGTTTTAGCAGTTACCATCCCCCCATCATGTCGAATTATAGCATATAATTTTATTTTAAAACAATTTTGTTTGGGACCAGAGAAAGCCCAGTTTGACCACTTGACACCACAAATGGTCGCCTGAGCATCACTAGGAGTGAACTGAGGTAAGAATAGTCCCAAGGTTCAATGAATTCAATTCCCTCCCGAAAGAAACCATTTTCATTTAAAAGAATTGGCCAGGGCCAGAGCAATAGTATAGCGGGAAGAGTGCTTGCTTGCACAGTAACAGATTTGATCCCTGACATCCCATATGGTCACCCAAGCACCGCCAGCCAGAAATTAATTCCCGAGTGCAGAGCCAGGAGTAATCCCCGAGCATCACAGGGTGTGGCTCAAAAATAAAAAGAACTGATATAGTGCATAATTCTGCAGCACATATGCCAAAACTGAAATGATACAGAGGTTAGCATGGTCCCTGTACAACAATGACATGCAAATTCGTGTAGTCCATATTTTTATGACTAACTTGTAGGATATAAAAAAAAAAAGTATGAAATTAATATCCAACGCCAGGATTACTGGTCAATGGTTGAAAATTACCACAAGGGTGTTGGGGAATGGAGGGTAGTTAAAGATAGAGGGTCCATTATGATAACATTAATTGGAACTGAACACACTGGACAAGAACTGAGTGTTAAAAGTAGGTAAAGGATATACATTATAACCTTTCAGCATCTGTATTGCAAACTATAATGCCTAGAATGAGAGAAAGAGAAGAGAGGTGCCTGCTATAGAGGTAGGCAGGGATGGGAGGGATTTACACTGGTGGACAGATGGGCGTTGGAACAGTGTATGACTGAAACCCAATCATGAACAGCTTTGTAATGCTCTATCCCAGTGATTGAACAAAATGAAAAATTTTTTAAAAAATGAAAAAAGAATTGATACAGGACCTATATAAAAGCAAAACTACTGATCAGCTAAGGGCCTCACACATACTCGTGCTTTACCACTTGATTCACATCCTCAGTCCTTTTTTCACATCACTCGGATTTGCTATGTCCTACTAAGTGTATGCATAGGTTTCTGCTACCATTGGAGACAAGCTCATTTCCCTCCGAGATCTCCTAAGAACTGACCTGGTTGAACTCAAGGACATCCAGAAGGTCAAAGAGCTTCCGGTTCTTCTCGTTGTCCTTCAGTTTCACGTAGTACTGCTGCAATCCATGCAGCGTCAGCTTCGTCTCATCATCCACGAAGATCTCCATTGGCTGGGGGGGAGGGGGGAGCAAGGGGGTGGGAACGGGAGGAGGGCAGAGTGGGGGGGTTAAACCTGGGGGGGTGGAGGAAGTTGATCTCCAAAACACCCCATGGGGGGATGGGGAGAAGAGAAATTTGAAAACCCACCCCCCACCAAAATACCACATTTTGATGTGACCTCTTTCACATTACAGCTAAAATCTATTTTTTTTAAGATCACCCAACTGAAAATGGTCACATGGAAGAGGGCACTGCAGGGAACAAAAAGGGCAGTGAAACCACCCAGTGGCAAGAAGCCACTACCTCAAATGGAGGCAGTGGAAGAAATAAAATAGATGATTCTCAATGAAGAACATGCACTGAACACCTGGGAAGTGATGGCTCAAGTGACTCAAAGTCAGAATAACCCCATCAGAACTGCTAAGAATGTGGGAGAGGGCCAAGACTATTCCATCAGTGTTCCCTCAAACAGGAGTGTCATAACCATACTAGGAGGTTTGTAAGATTAGAACGCTGCAACGGACTTTGGTCAAAATGCCATAAAAGTAGAAGCAAAAATTACTCAAACGAGATGGGTTAACAACTTGCCCTCAGGGGTCAACTTTAGTCTCTAAATGAATCCAGCTATTTCCAGTGTTCCATGGAAGGTTTGGTTAGTGGTACTATTAAAAGCATCCAGAGCAGCAGTTATGCACTCCTCTTAAAATACCCTTAAAGGGAAAAGTAACACAAAAAAGAAACTGATATTAAGGCTCAACTCCAGAGCCCAACATTTTTACCACTCTTCAATAATTTGGGGATATAATTAACATGAAAACAGAGAATCTAAGTTTTTAGGAAAGGGGGTACATGTGTCATGGGAGAAATCCAGAAGCCCAACCCCGAAAGGCAGGCTAATAATAAAGCTTTCCACAGAAGTTCCATGGCATCCTTCAAATCTAACTGTAGCCACAAGTAGAGCTAGAGACTGACCAGACTGACCACCCCACGGGAAGGAGCAAAGCAGGGAGGAACACAATCCACTGCTTATACAGAGGCCCTACCTAGCCCCATCCCTTAACTCCTGGTTACATTCAAGTGGGGGGGCCCTCATTTTACCTTCCCCATATCCCTCTCCCCCCACCCAGTATTAAAAAAGTGTTCTAAAAAAGAAAAAAAAACTAGCCCCCCATTCAGGACACCCCTCCCCCACCAACATATATTAGGGGGAAACAGGGAGCACGGCACGCCTTGGATTCAGGAAAAAAACCGGGAACGGAAAATGAGGCTGGCTGGGTCCTCAGCTTCCTGGTCAGGTTTCCCCGCAGCCTCCGCTGCCGCCATCCACCGCTGGTGCGTCCGCATTCCCCCGCCGCGCCATGGTGCTTCTCTGCTGCCGCCATCGCTCACATCAACCGAGGTTCCGGATGGGTGCGAGGAAGTGAGGGTGGGGAGGAGGAGGGGACGGGGAATGAGGTGCCAGAGGCCCCCAACCCCTGGAGGTAAGGAGGGAGCCGATTCACTCGTGCTGCTTGCTCTTCTCTTTGGACATGCCCTGTCATCTGTCTGTCCCTCTCTTGCTCTCCTGCCACCGGGAGGTTTTGAGTTTGAGGGAGCAGGAGGCTCCGGCTGTATGCTCGATGCCACCTTGAGGGTGCGTGGCTGTGTAGGGGTTATGTAGGAGACGATGCATGGAAGGTAGGGCAGAAAATCCTGCCCTCCCCCATAGGGAGAAGAGGTTCCAAAAATGCTGTGATTGCAAAAAAAAAGTCGGATACTACCCGCTCTCACGTTAACCCGACCAAGTCTTCCGGAGTTTCCCTAGCGCCCGCGCAGACCCTAACACTAGCTGTCTCTGCTTCTGTGTGTCTCTTCAAGGAGTCATCACTCCCAGATGGGCGTATGCCCCCTTCTTGGCACTTGAAGGGCAAAGGAGTCTGGAGGAAGAGGGTGCGGAAGGGGAGGAGGCAGCGGGCAGGGAGTGGAGGTAATGAAGGTAGAAGGGTATTTACGTCTTGCATGAACTTGCGGCACACTGGGCGGATCTCTTTGCTCAAGGTAGCACTGAACATCATGACCTGCTTCTCATGGGGGGTCATGCGAAAAATTTCCTGGACATCCCGACGCATGTCTGTAAGAAAAAAAAAAAGATTGAAAATGATATAGAAGAAAAACAGGACTATGTCATTAACAATAACAAGGGTTGGAGGCATAGTGCAGAGAACAGGGTGCTTGCCTTGCACACAGCTAGACGCGGGTTCCATCATCCCCTGCATGCTATTGTAGTCCCCCAAGTACTGCCAGGAGTAATTCCTGAGTGCAGACAGGAATAACTCCTTGAGCGCAATCAGGTGTGGCCCAAAATTTTTAAAAAATCACTTCAGGAGCTGGAGCAATAATACAGCAAGTAGGGCCCTTGCACACAATCAACTCAGGTTCAATCGCCAGCATCCCAGATGGTGCCCTAAGCCCCTGCCAGGAATGATCTGAGTGCAAAGCCTAGTCTAAGCCCTGAGCACGGTGACCAAAAAAAAAAGAGGGGGGGGTAGAAAATCAATTCAGCAAGAAAAGTATTTGTCTCAGGCTTTCAACAATTAAATCACACCCATAATAGGGTCTGCATGGCTGACCCAGGTTTAATATTTGGCATTCCATGTGTCCCCCAAGCACCATCAGGAGTAACTCCTGAGGGCAGAGCAAGGAGTAATCCAATTATCTGCCAGGTGTGATCCAAAAAGCCAAAAAATAAAAAATCAAATCCTTAACATACCACAAACGGCTCAAAGGGCTGGAGCACTTGTTTCCTTGTGGAAGCCCTGGGTTGAATGCCCAGCACTGCATGAACCTGAGAAGCACTAGTAGGGGTTCCTGATCATGCCAAGGTGTGCCACAAGCCCCCACCCCTGCCTCAAACCACATCCACAGTAACAACAGTGGGAAAAAGTAGTAGAATTAGAAGACTTGGAAAAACATGTTGAAATTCCAAAGCCCAAAACCATACAAGTCAACCTTGTGAGGAGGCTCACAAGGGTCAATTTTATAAAACACTTTATGATCTCTCCCATTCCCATGCCTAAACAGAATGCAGCGACTAGTCTACAAACATCAGGCACCTATTACAATTTAGCTGTTAAGATTCATCCCATACTTCCTCTGGGTAAGGTTTCTGAAACTGTGTCTACTTTAAAAGACCCCTCCCTTTTTACCAAAGAAATGCAAAATAGGAAACTCCATATAAAATCTCCACCTAGTCAGCATATGAAAACATGTAACTTGCCCAAAATTTATCGATACTAAAAGAGTTCTGAACATACCAATACCAAAAACTAATTAAAAAATCACAACAGTGGCCGGAGCGATAGCATAGCGGGTAGGACATTTGCCTTGCATGCAGCCAACCCAGATTTGAGTCCCAGCATCCCATATGGTCCCCCGAGAACCGCCAGGAGTAATCCCTGAGTGCAAAGCCAGGAGTAACCCCTGAGCATCACCAGGTGTGACCCAAGAAGGAAAAAAATCGTAACAATTAAAATTGCTATGAAAAACACAACAATCCCAGATATTCCTAGCAGCACCTGCATTTCTCAGACAAAGGGGGGGGTCACAGGAAAAAAAAAAAAACAAAAAACATTCTGCCCTGCTCTAAATTGTTTTCCTGCCAAGTTGGGCCCATCCCATGGCTGAACATCTAGAATAGTCAAAATTATTCAGAATGTCATTATCTGAGACCACATCCTCCTCCACTTTCGCTCTGAGTTCTACAGAAAGCTTTTCTTCTATAATTTCATGTACTACACTGGAATAACACACCAAATTCACACAAACACTCCCCGTATTAATTCTAGGACTAAGTCTAAAGATTGAGTCAACATAAATTTCAACATACTGAACTAAGTATTCCAGAAGAGTAGATCGTCTCCTCCACAAAATCTGATACCCAAGTATAAAGTGTGGAGAGCTGTGACTGATGTTCAAGATCAGCAAAGTCTCTCTCAAAGACGTACTGGTCACATAAATATGACACCCCACCCCCCCATTAACAAGGCTGCACAAAAAGCTTAACAAAAGGGCCAGAGATGGTACAACAGGGAAGGGGCTTACCCAAGTTTGAAACCTAGCACTGCATATATCCCCCCTAAGCACTTCCAGTGGTAATACCTGGGCACTGCTGTGTACAGCCCCAAAACCAAAAATCAACGCATAACACAGATCAACCAGGGAAGCCAGAGCCATCAGTCATGGGTGATAGATAAGAGTCGTCCTGGCACGTAAGTGCTCCTGTATCAATAAACATCATTTGGCTCTAGAGGGCAATTCCCCAATCACTAGCCCAGCCTGAGCACTGCCACTCACCGAGCTGTTCAAGCATCTTATCACATTCATCCAAGATAAAGTGTTTGATGTGTTTGAGGTTGAGGCTCTTATTTCGAGCCAAGGCTAGGATGCGGCCTGGAGTTCCCACGACGATATGCGGGCAGTTCTTCTTCAGCACCTCTTCATCCTTCTTGATAGAAAGACCACCAAAAAACACTGCGACCTGCCAAGCCAGAAGAAAACATCTCAGAAAGAAAGAGACACATTCTCCCATGGTTCCCACCATTTTTCATTTATCCTCCAGTTCTCAGAACATTTCAAAGCTAAGAAAGCATGAGAGGTCACCCAATATGAAACCGATACCCTTAAACTATTGAGAGAAAAATGACTTGCCCACAGCTGCATGGCTAATCTAGCGGAATAGTACTAGCATTCAGCTATTATGACTTATGCAACAATCTTCCTTTCCATGACAGTCAGGTTAGCCTTCAATATAAAAAGGATGACAAGCAATACCGAAAGACTCATCTTTTTTTTTTTTTGCTTTTTGGGTCACACCCGGCGATGCACAGGGGACCATATAAGATGCTGGGAATGGAACCAGGGTGGGCCACGTGCAAGGCAAACACCCTATCTGATGTGCTATCGCTCCAGACCCAAGACTCATCTAGTTTCACGAAGAGACCTTAGATAAAATTTTAACTCCTTGACACACCTCCAACAAAACTACTAATTCAGGCTAAATATATTACTCCATGTTAAACCATTGAGAATGGATATTAAGGACCTGAGTTTAGTATACAGAATCAAGTAACACAAACTGCTTTCAAGTTTCAAAGGGTGAAGGTCACAGCGTCTATAAAAATTTTAAATTGCTCCTTATAGAACAAAACTTTTCAGCAAGAGATACAAGGCATCACTTAAAAAAAATTCTCTTGCCAAATTTTAGCTTGGGGTTCAGAGATGGTACTTCAGGAAGGCACTTTGCTTTGTGTGCAGCTGACATGAGTTCGATCCCTGGCATCCCATATGGTCCTGAGCACCTCCAGAAATAACCCCTCAGGACTGCCAGGTGTGGTAATAGCAACAGTACAGGAGGTAGAGTGCTTGCTGGCACATGAACAACCCAAATTTAATTCCCTGCTACACATATGGTCTCCTAATCCCTCCAGGACTGATCCCTGGAACTAACACACGTGTAGTATATCTGTAGAACTAGCCTCCTCAGTAAGTCACTGTAACATCATTTTGTTAAAACAAACAAATAGGGGCTGGAGCAATAGCACAGTGGTTAGGGCAAATGCCTTGCACGCAGCCAACCCGGGTTCAATTCCCAGCATCCTATATGGTCCACTAAGCATCACCAGGAGTGATTCCTGAGCCAGGTGTGACCCAAAAAAGGGGGGGGGGGGGGGGAAGAGGCCTTAATCAAAGACAGGTTGAAAGGGGAATAGAGATACAGTACGGCAACTAGGGTTCTTGCACTGGAAGTAGCCGACCCGGGTTCAATCCCCAGCATCCCATATGGTCCCCCCAGCACTGCCAGGAGTAATTCCTGAGTTCAGAGCTCCTGACCATCGCTGGGTATGACCCAGGTAAAAAAAAAAGTGATAATATAAATTAAATAATCTCAACTACTCTTCACCACATCCCAGCCAGGTGGCAATTACATTAACTTTGTAAAGTCCAAATTTATGTAACTATATAAACAGGGTCCAATTACTTAGGGACACTGTTTGAGTATGTATTTATTCTAATAGGTCTGGTCTGTAAAGGAACTGGTATAATCATTATTTCCAAAAGGACCCTACATAATCTGAAAGTACCATAAATAAAGCTATATAATGCAAAACATCTCACCATTTTAAAGCATCCTCATTCACATGTTAAAGATGTTAAATAAGATGTTTAAATGTAAGATGTTTGAGACTGTAACCTTGTCTTGCCACATCCCCTTAATTTCTCTATCAACCAGTATATTTCAAAGTCAATATAAATAATGTTCTGGGGCCAGTGCAATGGGGTGCAGGTAGGGGGGTGTTTGCCTTGCATGCAGATGACAGGGTCCAATCTGCAGCTCCCCATAGCGTCCCATGAGCCTGCCAGGAATAATCCCTGAGCAAACAGCCAGAAATAAGCCCTGAGCACTGCCCATGTGGTTCATAAACAAATTAAATTTTAAAAGAACCTATCATCTTGGGGCCCAGATGTAGCACAGTGGTAGAACTCATGACTTTAGCTAGGAATGTCTGACACAAACACACACACTCTCCTTCCTACCAAAAAAAGATAAAAGTGATCATGAGTTTTGCATTGAGTTTTCCAATCTGTCTTCTGTTGCACAGGTACATTTACATAATGTTCAAAAGCCAAGAAAAACTGAAATTTATTTCATATAGCAAACATCACTAAAGTGTTATACATAGAAGAAATGAGCCTAGGGCTTTATAAAATCTATACACAAAGATTTACAAGAATTTAATATGCTACATGTACAAAGAAGTTCATATACGGGTAATGTGACAAGATAGGTGATCTTACAAATTAATTTCCCATTCTTCAAACCCTGTTCTACCAGGTCTCTTACTCGGACTTACCTTGACATTGGGCATGTATTTAGAGAAGCGCTCATATTCCTTGCTTATCTGAAATGCCAACTCTCGAGTGTGACACATCACCAGCACAGACACCTTTGGAGAGAAGCAGATGGAAACAGATATGCAACACATCCTGTGATTCCCCCTCTGGGTGACTGCCACAAGGCACACATGGCAGACCACAAATTACTTCAATTCTAACATCTAAATCAATCCCAGAATGACCTGTTATCCTCACTGTTACAGTGAAAAGTGATCTTAGACAAGAGTCTAAGTGGACCACCTGACCAAAAAAAGCAGCCTTCTCAAATATTCCTGACTAAAACGCTTTGCCCAGCACTTTTCCCAAGAGTTACCTGCCCAGTGACTGGCTCCAGCTGTTGCAATGTGGCTAGCACAAACACCGCTGTCTTTCCCATGCCGGACTTGGCCTGGCACAGGACATCCATGCCCAGAATGGCCTGCGGGATACACTCATGCTGGACTAGAAACAGAAAAACAGGTTAGATTCCAATCTCCCTAATACCCCTTCATTACCATGTCAACCCCACTTCTCACCACTCTTTCCTTTCTTTGGTGTCTGGGCCACACCTGGTTTATTTCTAGCTTCATGTTCAGGAATCCCTCTTGGTGGGACCCAGGAGACCAAATGCAGCGTAATCAGGTGCCGTATCCTTTGTACTATCTCTCAGGACCAACCACTCAATTCTTTTTTTAATTTTTATTAGTGAAACATCATGAGGTACAGTTGTAGACTTACAAATTTTTGTACTTGGGTTTCAGTTATACAATGATCGAGTACCCATCCCTCCACCAGTGCCCATTCTCCAACACCACTGATCCCAGTCGTCGTCGTCGTCCCCCCCCCCCGTCCTACCCTGCTTCTGTTGCAGGGCATTCATTCCCTTTTGGGTGCTGTGGTTCGAACCACACAACTCTTACGTGGCCCTTTCTTATCAACTTAAAAATCACTTCCACCTTTCCATGCCTCTGACCTCTCAATCAATCCAATTCAACCCAAATCAGACGCTCCTTGTCCTAGCTTTAGTCTCTTTCCGTTTCAGCCCCCGTATACTATTGCTAACAACTCTCTTGTACCTACCAATACTCAACAATGGTGCTCCTTGGGTCCTTTATTCCCTTAATCTGATTTTTAATTGTGCCACACCCAGGGGTTCTCAGGGCTTACTCCTGGGATCATATGGGATGCTGGAGATTGAACCCAAGTCAACAGCATGCAAGGCAAGCACCTTACTGCTATACTCTTATCTCTTTAGCCCCTACTTTCCTTAATTTGTAATGTCAGTGACATTTGATCATTCTTGTTTGGGGCCACACCTCACAATACTCAGGGGTTACTCAGACCCTAATCTGTGCATCTGAGTGTGTGCCACAGGTAACTTCTATACATGGTTATCAAGCATTGGGTCATGTAACGTGTGTAACCTGAGACAAAATAAAACTCATAACTGACGCAGAAGGAGTCATCTTTTGACCTGCCATAAAGGTTTCCGGAAGGGTTGGAGAAATATTACAGCAAATACGGCCATTTGCCTTGCACTCTGACAACATGGGTTGGATCCCCAGAATCCCATTTGATCCTGAGTACTGCCAGGAGTAATTCTAGTCTGTGCACAGTCAGGAGTTACCACTGAGTAGGGTGTGGCCCAAAAACAACAACAGAAAACTGAGTTTCCAGAGACTAGATTAGTGTAATCCAGTAGAAGAGGACTAAAGATCCAGCAAGCTACTCTGGGAAGTCCGAAAACATATGCCAAGTGACAAAACCTTTTCAAAGCAAAGATAAGCCAGTAGTAAGAACAAAAGGCAGGGCCAGGGAAAAGTACAGTGGTTAGGGTTTTGCCTTGAATGTGGTCAACCCTGGTTCAATCACCCCAGCATCACATCTGATTTTCTGAGCCCCACCAGGAACGATCCGAGTGCAGAGCCAGGAGTACTGAGCACAGCTAGGTATGGTGGGGAGGGAAGGGAGAAACAGAATGGCAAACCTCTAAATTACTTTTGGAGCACCAGCATTTTCCTTTTATCCCAAATAAAAGACCAGCACTAGGGCTAGGAAGGTAGTAGCGAAATTATCGCTATCTAATCTCCAGTACTGCCTGGCCCCTAGCACTGCCAGTAGACACACCCAAGCACACCCTAAGTAGTCCCCAAAATGGAGGGCTTGCGGGAGGGAAGGAAAACACTAGACCTCTCCTGTTCCCTTAACTATTTTTGATAATTTCCCTTTTTTTGAAGTATTCTAAAAATACATTACCTGAGTAACAACGAACATAGCTGCTTCCTCTACCCTGAAAAATTCTAACACGCTATGCCCAACAACAAAAACCTCCCTTAACAGAAGATTTACCTTCTGATGGATGCTCAAAGCCACAGTCAACAATGGCCCGGAGTAACTCTGGTTTGAGCAGGAAGTCCCGGAAACCAGAGCTGTGGATGGAGACGTAGGAACCCTTGACGTCCTTCTTGGCAGGGGCCTCAGTTCCATCTCCCCCCGCTGCGGTCTCCACCTCATCCTCTTCATAGTCCAAGAGCTCGTTGTCCACATCATTCTCTGCCATGTCTGGGCGGGCAGGGGGACTAAGGGAGGGGATTCAGGACGGTTCACTCAGGGGAAGTGGAAAGTAGGGAGGTGACTGGGGAGGGGGGCTGGAGGAACAGACACTAGTTTGACAGGAGAGCTGGGAAGGGGGGGAAAAAAAAACACGCATCAGTTAGGGCAAAAAGCCTCCAGGACACCGAGACTCAAACACACTACAGGGAAGGGGGGATCGGGAGGGATGGTCGTGCTAGGTCATTAGCTCCCCAGTAAGTACAGAAACAAGGAGCAGAAACCAGGGCATTGTGGAAGTCTTGTAAATTCCTGATCTGCAAGCAACGACGAGGGAGGGGCGATTGTGAAACGCAGAATACGCCTCACGACTTAGTGCGGAAGATGGAGAAAAGGAGGAGGAAGAAAGGGCCTGAAGACCCTGAGCGGTCCCTGTAACCTCGGGCAGCAGCCATCAGTCCAGGGTGATAGATAATGGTCAGCATTGCGCCAAGCGCTCATTTCTCAAGAAGCGAACATCATGTGGCTGCCGTCCACCGCCCACCCCCGGGACCCTCCCGCCGGGGTCTGAAAGCCCGGGGCGAGTGATGCGGCGCGCGGAGGTGCGGGACCCATGACTCGGCGACAAAAACAACTGTTTTTGTTTTCCCTCTTCATCGCGGGGACCAGGAAGCCAAGAAGCGGCCCAAAATCCGCAGTTAACAGACCATCTATCGTTTCCGTCACGAGGCCGGGGCGCCTCCTTCCCAGAAAGGCGCACAGTAACGTTCGTGGGAAGCCAATTGGGAACGTTTGGAAACGGGGCCAAACACGGGGCGATCGAGCGAGGCGGAGCGCGGCCCGAGAAACCGGCTCAACCGATTGGCGCCCAGAGGAGAAGAGGCAAGAGGAGGGCCTCGCCCTCCCCAGAATCCAGGGCTACGGACGCCCAGCGCCGCCGCATCGCTGGTGCCTCAGCGAAGCGAGAGGCCCGACACGGATGACGAGCGCCAAAGAAACACAATGGCGCCCAGGCCTCCATTTTGAGTTGCTTCCCCCCTCCCCCACCTCCGCGCCAGCGGCCCTGCCTCCCCCCTCAGGAGTTCTTTGCTCTCGCAAAGGGAAAGAGCAAGGGAAGTAACCCTACTAGACGTCAGGGATTAGACTACAACCTGGAGAAGGGATATTAGGAGTCCAAGAGACAGGATGACCCGAGAGAAACGGAGATGGAGGCGGATGGTCCCGAAGGCCAGACCTTACCTGAGCAAGACGAGTACGTATGGCGGCGGCAACAGGGACGAAGGAGGGAAATCTGCATTCACTTCCGGTTCCCAGCTTCCTTCTACTCGGCTTCCCGCCTTCTTGCCTGCTAATGCGCAGGCGCAAGAAACCGGAAGAAGGACCTTCCGCCGTTTATAGTTCCGCGCACTCCGAGGTTGCCTTTGGGAAATGCCTGTGTGAAATTTAGTTTAAAAGCCACGTCTAACCTCGCAGCTGCTGCCGTGACGAAAGGCATAAAGGAAACTAGTATTCTGTCCCACTGTTACCTTTTTTTCTTGTCCTACTCTTATCCACATCCTTACCTTTTTCATTTACAGTCTCTGCCTTGTGGATCTTCTCTCAGGGCAGCCCCGCGTGGGTGCTCGAGAAAGGAGGGCGGACCGGGCTGTGAGTTCCCACGGGGTCCTTAGCCCGGTACCCAAGGTGACCTGGCGGGCGTCTGCGCGGGAACCGAGGAACGCCCGGCCGCGATCCGGGCTGCGGGGGGTCTCACTAGCTGGAGGTGACCCTTCCTAAAATAATGTTGGTTAATGTAGCTGATGCCTTGTGGACCATGATGCTGGTGGAATTAGAATTGTGCCCAAAGTTAGCTGCTACAGTTCAAGGGTTACGCAGCGTTTAATAAATATTAGCACAGGTGTTCTTACCCCGCCCACGGTAACCGTACTATTAGCGTGGAGGTTTTTTTTTTTTTTCCTGAATGAAGCATATACCCTTGCCTTCCTATCTAGTCTGGTTAATAAATAAACTACGGGTTACCTTATCGCGTCCAATCCTAGATAAAACCTTTTATCTGCAGCCAAGAGAAATAAATGTTTAGCTAGGGATGTAGCTCCGCGGTAGACCACTTTGCCTGTGTGAGACTCTGAGTTGATTCCTGGCATGGGAGGGCGAGTAGAAGAACAAATATAAAAGGTTAGGTTTTCGGGGACTGAAAAGATAGCTCAGCGGGTAGAGCAGTTGCCTTAACTGCGGCCAATCAGCGTGCTGTTCCCCGCATACCATATGGTCCCTACCCAGAACTACCAGGAGTAATCCCAGAGCATAAGCGGATGTAGGGGGAGGAAGGTAGTTTTTCCCAACAATAAAAGTCAAATCTCTTCACTATTTCAACCACCCATCCCAGAACGAGAGAGATGGTCCCTAATCACCACTGAGAGCAACTTACACACACACACACACACACACACACACACACACACACACAGCAGGGAGTAGCCCCCAGCATCCCTGCAGTGTGCCCCACTTCAAAAAACTGCTTGCCAAATGTTACTCTAAAATCTGGAACACAGCTGTAAACAGGCCTGTTGCCACAGTTCAGGGGCATAACCTCCGAGACAACCCATAAATATATCAACATATCCAGCAGCAAAAAATGCCATTATAAAAGCAAGACAGAGGGGCTGGAGCAATAGCACAGCGGGGAGGGCGTTTGCCTTGCATGTGCCAATCTGGGTTCGATTCCCAGCATCCCATATGGTCCCCTGAGCACCGCCACAAGTAATTCCTGAGTGAAGAGCCAGAAGTGACCCCTGTGCATCTCCGGATGTGACCAAAAAAAAAAAAAAAAGACAGAAAGCAAAAAAGTTTTGGGCTGGTGAGAGAACAGGGGTAAGGAGTTCACCTTGCATGTGGCATTCAATGCCCAGCATTGCATATGGTACCCTGCGCAACCCCCAGAGTTACCTCTGAGCACAGAGCCAGGTGTAACCCATTATAAGCCACAAAAAAGCGTTTGTATATTCCACGGTTTCTCTGCAGCTGCCATCTATAGTCCTCAGGTTACCAAATAAGGTGCCACATATATTTATGTCTTTGCAAAGATTCTCGAACTTATTTGGCCTCCCACCCCCTTTTCAAGAAAGAAATCAACTTAGGGCTCCTCTTGGAAATCTTTATATAAACAAGCATCATCTCCCCCCCCCACACACACACACACACCTGGATCATTTGAGCACCCACCAAGAGGGCAGTATTATCCACTTGAGAGACACTAAGAAATAATAATGCAGGGGCTGGAGCGATAGCACAGCGGGTAGGGCATTTGCCTTGCACGTGGCAACCTGGGTTCAATTCCCAGCATCCCATATGGTCCCCTGAGCACCGCCAGGAGTAATTCCTGAGTGCATGAGCCAGGAGTAACCCTGTGCAAAGCTGGGTGTGACCCAAAAAGCAAAAAAAAAAAAAAAAAAATAGAAATAATAACGTACTGCTTACTTTTATTTTACAAACAAATTTAAAGGGCAGCCTTTTTGGATGCTTGGGTAACATGTAAACAGGAACAAGAATGACTGAAAATAAGAAAAGCAAAAGGAGGCAACTCACCAATTGGTTTTTCACATACTTATTTTATTGACTTTTAAACTGCCACAAAGGTAAAGTGAAGTGTTGAGGATGTGTTAAAGGCAAGCCATGCACACAAGGGGACACAGCATCACTTTATCTCAGGAAGCAGTAAACATCTCATGGGTTTGGGGGGAACAGTGGAAGGAGAATTGCAATAAAGAGAAACACCAACTTGAGAGAGAATTGCAACATCTTCCCGGAACCCCAATAGAGAGGTTATACATGAAGTCATAATTCCATCTTGTCACATTTTATAGTTTCGTTTCTGAGAAAAGAGAAGTGGGAAGAGCCAATTCTTCAGAGAATTTAGACTCGGTTCACAGAATGAATGAGTAGGATTAGAACACCAGGCAGGCCTCGGTGATGTGAGGAAGGGCTTAGACAGCCATTAGAAGGTTTTGGCCAGAGAATGGGTGGTGGGAGGCGGTAATACTATCATAGGGCTGCTGTTTACAAATCAAAACTACATGCTAAACTCTACAGTGATTCGCTCATCTTGCAGCAGCCCTGTAGTAGACACTGTTATTGTAGTCTCGCAGAGGAGGCCACTGAAGCTACAGGGGAAATAGCTTGTCCTGGTTTTGTAGGTGACAAGGTTAGAAGAACCCCACCTGAATTTGGGGTGTTTCCCACATCTCTACTTCTCCATGCTCTAACTTTTCACAAGGGCATTGGTTGTGGGTAACTTAGGTCCTGATGAAGGTTAAAGCACAATAAGGAGATTCAGCTCTGGACAGGATATTCATAAACTTCCAGAACTACTGAATCCTGCTTCTGAGAACGTCTAAGAATGGAAAGGAGAGCAGGACTATAGCGAGAAGTAACTTCAATAAAGGGATTTCTTCAAGGGGGAAACTTTCCATGAGAAGCCAGGCCCTCTCATGACTCCTAGGCAGTAATCCGGTAGTTGGCATGGACCTGGGGCCTCACATCACAGACCATGCCGAGAAGCTGGGCCAGGACACGCTCACGGTTTCTCTGCTGGGAGCTCTGCATGCCTTGCACCTGGTGCCTTGTCGCCTGCTCCACCTCAGCTGACAGGTTCCCTTGGGAGCCCATGGCCTGGGAGGTGAGAGAGAGATGAAAGAGAAAAGGAAAATGCAGGAACAGAATAAATAGTTCTAGTATGTGGAGAGAAATATCCTGGAGAAAAGGGCAGGAAGAAGGGCCCTCTTTGTAGACCATTCCCATCTCACAAACAGCATGAGAAATACAGTCCGTTTCCCTAAGATCTGACAGGCAACTTCATCCTATACCAGTTCCCACCATCTTACTAGTCAAGAATAAAACTGTTCACCCCAATGTCATGAGAGGCTGTGGCAAATCCCAAGCTTTATAAATCCTATGAAGGGCTGGAGTGATAGCACAGCGGGTAAGGCGTTTGCCTTGCACGCGGCCGACCCAGGTTCGATCCCCAGCATCCCATATGATCCCCTGAGCACCGCCAGGAGTAATTCCTGAGTGCAGAACCAGGAGTAACCCCTGTACATTGCCAGGTGTGACCCAAAAAGCAAAATAAATAAATAAATATAAATCCGATGAAATTCCTACACTCTCTGTCACAAATCTTAACCCATATTGTCATCAATACGTACCTTATGTTATCTGCATGCACCTCAACAGATGCACATACCAGTTTACGTCCTGGTGGCCCATCCCAATTCTCCCACAACTTACTGCCTGCTGCTTGCTCTGGAATTCCTGCTCCCGCTCTCTGCGGTATTGTTCCACTTCCATCTGAGCCTCCTCCTTGGCCTGCTTCAGACGCCGGGCCTTCCCTGGAGGGAACACAGAGCAGAGGGTCAGGGTGCATCCTCTGCAAGCTGTGCTGGTGACCAGTGCTTTCCAGAAAGTTTTTCTGCCTTCTCTTGGTCAGTGAGGTACCAAATTATAACAACTAACCATTTCTTCCTCATCTGTGACCCTGAGTTTTCCTAAGGATTCAGGAAATCTGTCCGCTGTCCCTCATCTGGAATTTTATTTCCAGATCCTAAGGAAGAGAAGAAGAGACTCACTCTTTCTGGCATCTGCCACCTTCTCAGCCGCCCGCTTCTCTGCTTGCAGGAGCTGTTGGATACCCTGGGACTGACTGGCCATTTCTCTGTTATGGCCGATGGCGCTTCGGATGCTACCAAGGTACCAGATGGCTCCCGCCGCCTACTCCGCCAGTTGCTGCAGTCCTTCACCACTACTCCTGGGTCTTAGTGCTCCCCTTTTAGCTCAGCATCCTGGACCGGTGTCTCCCCCAAACTGATCCTCCCATTGATGGCTGGTCCTTCTCCAGCATCCCTCTCTCCCGCAATAGCTGTAAGGACCGCCTGGGGGCAGCAGAGACCGGATCCAAAGCTGCCTGCCAGCATTAGGTGCAGGGCTTTCCGGGAGTTAAGGTTAGGAATGGGGCTGGAGCAGAGGGGAGGAATATTGGGGAGAAAAGGCCACAAGGAGGGGTTGAAAATGGGGTAAGTAAGGAAGCCTTCGTGCATCATGCATTGGGAAAGAGCATGCGGGGCTTTTCTGAATATTCAATTTCGCTCTACCTCTCTCTTCACTTCTCCTTTTTATGTCTTTTTTTTCTTTCTCAAATCCAGATTTCTAAATTAATTTCAATTGCCGTATCTAGGGTTTTTTTCCCTCAAAAGTCTGTGTTTTTCTCTTTTGCTCTGTCCCTGTCCTTGAGCTCACTGTGGGCTTTGTGTTTGTTTCCATTTTCACTGTATCCTCTATCTCTTTTCGCTCTTTGTCTAATCTTTTAGCCTACCAACCGATCCTCTCTCCCACTTGAGGGAGGCGGGAGTGAAGCTCCGGACCATATGCCCTCCGTCCTCGTGACCACCCCCGCCTCTAGCGCCTTTTGATGTCCAGTCTTCCGGTTTTAGGCGGACCCTTAGTCTTAAGTTCCGTAGTTTCCCCACGAGGTCAGAATGAGGAGACACGCGCGCGCGCTCGTCCCCAGCACCCCGGCCCCTTGAGCGCGCTCCCACCGCCCCGCCCCTCGGGGAAGGCGGACTTCCGGCAGCGCGCCTCGCGGTTCACTTCCGCCCTTCCTTGCGTCGCAGTTTGCGCCATTTCCGCCAGCTTCGAGTGTCTCCGCCCTTCCCGCCTCCCTTCCTCGGAGCGTCTTAAACACAGGCCTCAGGCCCACAGCTCTGGGGGTACTTAGGGGGGCGGGGGACTGGTCTGATGAGTAACCCCTCCCCCCAGGCCCCAGAGGGAGAAGCCTCTACTTCTGTCTGCCGGGTACATGATATTCAATTTCTAGATCATTATTTGAAGTTTTCTGTGAATTTTTTAAATTCAAATTTTCTTCTGATTAAAAAAAAAAATTTCTTCCCTCCTCCTCCCTCAGTCTTTTTCAAAGGACTTTAGTGGAAAAAAAAATTATAAATTGATCGGGCCAATAAGCCTGCAAACAATTATTTAGCCTTTTCTCAATTTTGACATGAAAAGATTAAAATTCCCAGCCCCCAGCCCCCCCTTCCTCCCCTCGGGAATTTTTTCAGACCATTAATCTCGCAAGAACTGCGGGGTCAGGCCAGGCCTCCCCGCCTCACTGAAGCTGGAGGAAGAAACCCAGGGGAGGCCGGGGAGGGACTGCCAGGGGGGCGACCGGCCAAGGGGGGGCCTGACTGCTGCTGCTCTTTCTCTCCCGCAGCCCAAGAGTTCCATGGCCTCCGCCTCCCGCCGCCAGCGCCGAGAGCGTCGCTTCCGTCGCTACCTGTCTGCAGGACGGCTGGTCCGGGCCCAGGCGCTCCTGCAGCGACACCCCGGCCTCGATGTGGACGCGGGGCAGCCCCCACCTCTGCACCGGGCCTGTGCCCGCCACGATGCCCCGGCCCTGTGCCTGCTGCTGCGCCTGGGGGCAGACCCTGCCCACCAGGACCGGCACGGGGACACGGCACTGCACGCCGCCGCCCGCCAAGGCCCTGATGGTGAGTGTACCCCGGAGGGGAGGGGGGGACCTATCAGCCGCCCCTCCGAGGTCTGGGCTGCTGGCTCCAAACTGAGCTGCTTGCCTGGGACTCTGGAGGTAGTTGATCAAGAGGGCCTGGGGCTAGGGATTGTGCCTCCAGGATATAGACAGGTTGGTGATCAACTACAGACTGATCTTCAGATTTCACACCTCCCCCCCCCCCCCGCCCCCCCATGAGTCTGGTTCTAGAGCACATGGCCTATGTGTGGATTCTAACCCCAGCACCATAAAAAGTTTACTTTTCTTTTCCCCCAGGTGGGGGTGGGGGCGGAGTGTTGCTCTATGGAGCCCAGGGCCTCACACAGGATATGACACATATAAGCTCTCAAGTTAGATTTCTGGGCTCGGAGCTAGCTACTTAATAGTTGGGGAAATTATTAAGCTTTCCTGAGGCTTAGTTTGCCCTTGTGCAAAATAAGTCATAACTCTTGCTGTGTGCAGGCTTCTTAAAGTAACTTATTTAATCCTCACTACAACTCTGTGAAGTCATAAATACTAAAATTATCCTTCAGTTTCTAGACGAACCACACAGAGAAGTGAAGTAGTCTGCCCAAGGCACACAGCTATTAGATCAAGGCAGGCTAGCTAGAGCCTCTGAACTCTTCAGCAACTGGATTATCCCGTGTGATATGGTTTTTGTGGGTTTTTTTAATTCGGGGGAGGGGGGCGTTCTTTGTTGCTCAGGGCTATCTCCTGACTCTGAGCTCACAGATCACTCCTGGCAGGGCTCGAGGGACCCAATGGGATACCAGGAATTGAACCCAGATTGGCCACATGTAAGGCAAGCACCCTACCCACTGTATTACTCCTCAGCCCTCTCCTTTGTGATAACATATCAAATTAAATAGTGATGTAGTCACGTATACCAGCACCCAAACCCTAAAATATGTTTTGAGAGTAAACTGACTTAAGTATATAATTGGAGAGCCTGGCAGTGATCATCCTTCAGTAGCTGCAGGCAGTTGTTGTTATCAACATCCAAACTCCCCTACCCACAATTATGAAGCTAAAAGACACTCTGAGAACCATACAATTTTTTATCATTCTGCCACCAAACTCAGTGTTAAAATCTATCCTAAACTAAAGTGAGGGCTATCTATGATTTGTTTTTATGCTAGTATATCAATACTCAGGCATTTATTGCAGAAACATTCTCTTTTTTAATTTATTTATTTTTGGTTCATACCCAGTAGTGCTCAGGGGTTACTTCTGGCTCTGTACTCAGAAATTAACTCCTGGCAGTGCACGGGTGAACCATATGGGGTGCTGGGGATCAAACCCAGGTCTGCCGTGTGCAAAGCAACACCCTCCCCACTGCGATATTATTCTGGCCCGCAGAAACATTCTTGTTTGGTTACTGGGGTGACCCAAGCCCTTCTGATCTATATATTGTACACAGTGTATATGATTTCAGACCAGCTCTACCAAATCCAAAAAACATCTGAGCTCAGAAAAGAAAAAATGAGGGTTTCCAGTCAGGACCTGTTTTTACTACAGTGGCAGTGCAGGCAACTTGAGAGATACAGTCTTCCTTAATATTAGGCCTTGATTTGGGGGCAAGAGTGGGCAAGTGCCTCACCAAGCAGTGTTAGGGCACTTTTCCCTGAATCAGAAGTGGCTCCTGGTGAGGCTCAGGGTATCATGTGCTGATGAGGATGGAATCTTTCTATATGCAGAGCCTTTAGTTCCAACCCATTGAACTCTCTGTAGCTGCCCAACTCCCCCACTGTTTTGTTTTTTCCTTTAAAGAGTATCAAGGATGAAACTCAAGGCTTCCTACATGTGAGGTATGAGCCACAGTAACTCCTTTAATTTATTTTGTTGTTGTTTTTTTTTGGGGGGAGTGTGGGTCACACCTGCTGTTACTCCGGGGACCATATGCAGTGCCAAGGACAGAACTGGTCAGCCATATTCAAAGCAAGTACCTTAACCCCCTTACTATCTCTCTCTGGCCCTTGATACCTCCTTTTAATGTAGGACTGCTAGGAAAATCTCTAGGTTGGGATGAATAACCTTAATTCAGTTTGTTTACTATTGCCAGCTCCCCAAGTACATGCAGGAATCTAACCTCAAAGCCTGCCCCACACAGTATCATGTCCCCTTTCTTTTTGTTTTGTTTTGTTTTTTGTCCACACCAACAGTGCTCAGGTCTTACTCCTAGCTCTGCTCTCAGGAATCACTCCTGGCAGTGCTTGGTGGAGACCATATGGCATGCCAGGGATCAGACCCAGGGTGGCCACATACAAGCCAGCACTCTACCCATTATATTATCTCTTCTGCTCCTGTTTTATTTGACTTAGCGTATTAGAGGTTTGTTTTGTTTTGTAAAGGGCAAGCATCTAACTCAAAACTGATTAGCAGTAGCGGAGAACCCTGAAATAGATCTCAGACCTCACTTACCCTAGTTACAGCTCTGCCACTTAAAAGCGTGTGGCAGGGACCTCTCTAAATTTAATTTGCAACTATAAAATGGAAGTTCTGACAAGCATTTGGTGACATTTTAACATTTAGTAGACCCTTTTTTTTATTTTCATATTATTCAAGTAAAACTTTGTCATTTTATGGCTATAACGAGTGATGCTCAATGATAATTCCTGGCTCTGCACTCAGGAATTACTCCTGGCAGTGCTCGAGACCATATAGGTATGCTGGGTATCAAATGTGGGTCAGCTCTATGCAAGGCACGCTCCCTACCTACTATCTCTTCAACCCTCAAGTAAGACTTTTTGAGTAATAAAAATATCCATCATGGGATTGGAAAGGTAGTATAGCTGGTAGAATGCTTGTCTTGCCACCAGTCACCAGTACCCTGATCCCCACCAGGAGTAGAGCACAAAAAAACAAAAGTCTCTCACAGGACTGGAGAGATGGTACAGGAGTTGAGGTGCACCCTGGTTTGATCATCAGCACCACATTATCCTCTGAGTATCTCCAGATGCAGCTCTGAAGGCCCCTGAACATTACTAGATGTGACCCTGAAGAACCCCCTACCCCCCACAGCACCACTGGGGTGACCCAGTAACCCCTAACACCACAGAGCTCAAGTATTCCAGGCTTGTACCCTCACATTGAATTGCTGACCCTGTTGGCTAAATTATCAGGAGGGGCCCAAGGTCTTCTGAGCAAGCACCACTCGGGAGACTCAAAAATAAAAAGGCTTTGTTTTCATTAGATTCTAAGAAGCACGTGAGCTTGATAGATATGTCCTTGTCTTCCAAAGCAGGGACTTGCACTTGCCCTAGTGACCTCTCAAGGCCTTACTCCTTACTGGTATCAGCCCAGCCCAGCCACCAGGTGGCCTTCTATCTCCTTGATAGAAAGGTCCACTTCTGCTTCCTGCAGCTTTGGAGACCATCTGCTTTATAATGTGCATCTCTGAACAGATGAAATGACCCCAAATCTCTCTGGATGGATTCCTCCATGTTCCCTTCTTAAGTCTGAGTTTATGCTGGATTGATGGTTGGGATTGTCATCCCCATTTGAAATATCAATTAATGACTCTGTCTTTTCTACTTTTGCTTTTGGCCACTCTCAGTGGTACAGTGCTCAGGGGTCCCTCCTGAACTTTAAGGAATCATTTTGGTTCTTAAAGGAACTATGTGGTACCCAGAATGGAACCTGGGTCCCCTGCACATACCTGTTGAGCCGTCTCCCTGCACTGTCTTTAGAAATTAGAAATTTTAAGAACTTCATTTGGAAAACCATCACCTCATGGAGAAGTGGTATGACCTTAGTCAGATGATAACCATCCTCTGTAATGTAGGAACTAGTAAATATTGAGAAATATTGGGACAAGTGTTGGGGGGACATAGTACCACAGTCTTTACCAAAATAATGAAGTAAAGAGGCCACAAATGTGGCTCAGCAGTGGAGTATTCCTTAGAATGCAGGGACCTAGGTTTGATTCCTGGCACTACTGAAATTAAAAAGTTACGAAGTCTAAAGTCATCCTGAGTACTTTGGTTTTTGGTTCTTCCAAGCACTGCCAGATGGGGGGCTGTGGGCACCCCACAGGGACCCTGGAACCACTCCTAAGACTCAATTACAGTGCTCAGGGTCCTCTAAGGCTGTACCCAGCTGTGTTTAGAGGGACAAGGCAATTCTGGAAATCAGACTTGGGGCTTTTTACATGCCAGAATTATGGTTCCAAACATATTTGGGTTTTTTTGCTTAATCAATGGTTGAACAAATAGTACTCTTAAATTTTTTTTTAAAAAAGTTTGTTTTTTTTTTAAATGTAATTTACTTTGCACTTTTGCCCTGTGCCACACTCTACCAAACATTTTCCATCTTCATTACCATTTTCATCTGCCCAGAGAAGTAGGCTGGGGCCCTGTTCCAGAGCTGACTGAGCTATCCACGTATGTTCCATCTGTCTTTCCAGCCTTACCTCCTACAGCACACCCACAAACCTACAAGGTTGTCTCCATGACTGTGTCAGCAGTGACCCCAGGCGTGTTTTTCACAAGCCTATCTGTCTTTTGCTGCCTGTTCACTCATCTGTTTTGCTAAGTGATCCTCCCTTCTCAGCTCAGCATAAGCTTCTCCTCCTCAAGGACTCTGGGGGGGGGACGAGGGCAGGGGCAGGCAGGTCACAGCACTACTCAGGACTTATTCCTGACTCTGCACTCAGGAATCACTTCTGGTAGGGTTTGGGGGATCATATGTTGTACTGGGGATTGAACCCAGGTAGGCTGCTTGCAAGACAAGCACCCTATCCACTGTATTACCGTTTGGCCCCTCCTTAAAAACTCTTTAATCTCTATGCTTCTCTCTCTCTCTCTCTCTTTTTTTTTTTGCTTTTTTGGGTCACACCCAGTGATACACAGGGGTTACTCCTGGCTTTGCACTCAGGAATTACTCCTGGTAGTGCTCTGGGATGCTGGGAATTGAACCCGGATCAGCCACATGCAAGGCAAACGCCCTACCCCCTACCCACTGTGCTATCACTCCAGCCCC